CTGTGATTTTTAATTATGAGGTGAGTTCGAAGGAAAAGATAGGCTGGTCTACTGTATACTGTTTTGGATTTGGAATGCTTACAATTATTTATCCTTCCACCGGAGTACAATGGCCAACAATATAATTTAATTTTGTATTATCAAAATTCTCAGAAGGTCAAGTGCTCTATCATTCTGAATACTGGAGAAACATATAAAAAAGAAAGTAAGACTGTCTCTTTTCATTAATAAGGTGAGGCAAACCAAAGTCAGTCTGTAAGGGAAGGATGACATGTTACAAATATTGAACGCCTCAGATTATATTCCTGTTCCTATATGCATTACCATCTTCCTACTGACAGGTGTCTCATGCAGTTACAAGTTACTCATGCCCATGTCTGCAACAGTTACCAGTCATGAACTAGCAGGATCTAGTTAAGTGCTGCTGAAATGACTGTATTGCATTGGGTTTGGTACTTTATCTGCTCAGTTGCTTGAGGAATTATCTGGGCATGATGCTGAGGTTGGTGGAGAAGTTGTAGAAGTTGCTATGGATTTTGCTCTGAGTGAGTCACAGAAGTTGCATGAAAAGAACTTCAAATGTTACAATACTATTCTCCAAGGATAGGAGTCTGACCAGCTTACACGAAGTACAACTATGCCCACCTTAACCAAATTAAAATAATTGAGCCACTAATTAGGTTGATTCCAGTGATGTTTGCCTTATGACTAGCAGTCAAGTTCCTCATGCTCCAAAATTCTCCCCTAAATCTGTAATACATTTGGGATTTCTAGTAAGTCAGAGATTTCTGAGATCAATAGCAGATCATTGAGATAAAGTATATTAGATTCCAGCACATCCCTTATGAAGCCATGGATGAACTCCATGTCTGTGCACTCATCCTGTACTTCATCCCAACCCTTCTCACAAGACACCCAGGTTTTTGAGTGGTGGTATGCCAAGATTCTCTGTTACAGCCAAACCAGGGGAATCTGGCTTAGTGTCATTTAACAAACCAGGTTAATAGGTGAGGATCTGGTTTACGAAATTGGAACCTAGTAAGTCCAAACATGGTCATTGGCAGATTTATTATGCAATTTTTAAATGACAAAGTAACCGACTGAAAACAATGTTATAAGTAAATTCTGGTGCAAGTCAATATAGCTCCCATAAATCCAATGGACCATGACCAGTTTTAACCCACTGAGAATGCAGCTTTATATCCATGACATTGCAAGTTGTGACAGCATTATTCTTTCTAACCAAACAGCAACTGAGAAACACCCGATTCACTTAGCACCCAACAGCTGTACTTAAGAGTCTTCATTCCCAGCCATACACCAAAAACAGACACAATAGTAAGAGGCAGAAACAGCTGCAGACTCTTTGGGTGGGGGGTTGGTCAAAAAGCTTGCAGTAAGCTTGTCATACAGCCTAGGGAGGAAGTAAAACATTTTTTCTTTTCTTTGTCATGTGTAGCAGCTGTCTTGATAAAAATTATTAGCAGTCCTGTTTTGTAACAGAAACTCAATAATATTTAATGAACACTGAAGCTAGGGATATTTGGGGACTTACACAAAGTTTAGCACTTTTGGGATAGCCAAAACAATGGTGTGTGTGACTTGGCTGGCAGTGTTCTTATGGGGCAGAGTATATGCCCTCCCTTCCCCATGCATATCCTCACTCACTTTTTTTTCTTTTTTAAGGAAGGAGATTGCAATCGGCACTCTTAACCTATTTCCAAGTCTAATACTTAAATGCCTGCCACAGTTGGTGTAGAGTTTATCAACCTTCTCTTTCCAGCTGATAAAGTGGTTTGATCTTCAAACCAAAATAAAGAGTAGGAACTGAAAAGGGCACCTGTTACAATACCATACACAAATCTTAAGAGACCAAGATTGTGGCCAGAGCTACATATTTTGACATGGTCTGATTAAGTTTCTATCACTGTATACTATTGATTTTTATAAGAATATTGGGTATGGGGGAGTTTTATTTATTTGAAAACAGAAAACCAGCTTTCTCCAAATTTTGATTGACCAATCAAAAGTTGGGATTAATCAGTAAACCATGTGACATTTGGACTACTCATATATTAAACCACTACCAACTTCAAAGTGGTTCAAAGCCGGTTTTCCTTACTCACTTCCTGCTGCCATAGACTGTGCAGTACAACTGCTAACCTCTTTCCTACTGGAACCGCAGGGATGTTTGCAGTTGCTTGCCACACGGAAATTCTGCCGGTGAAATTTTTCCTGGTATGCGGATGTGACAATGGGCCATGTAGTACTTGGAAGGGACACTCCTGGTGGTGCAGTTGGCTACTGAGTTTTGTCTCAGGAGTACCTGTAGCAGGGCTTTTCGTGTTGCAGTGCCTACTCTCTTGACTGTGCTCCCTATTCATTTTAGACAGGTGCCTTTGATTTTTAGATGTCTGCTTACGACTTATCTCTTCCTGCAGCCTTTCCGCATGTTGTGAGCCAGCCAGTTTAATTTTATTATCAGGTAGCGATTCAGTTGATTACCAACTGGAGAATATTGGATTGTATTTTTATTGTTATATGATTGTTTTATTATTATTGTTAACGCCTTTGATGTTTTACTGGGAACCAGTATATAATCCTGTGAAGAATAAGGCAATAAAAAGAAATACTGGAAGAATTTCTGCTTGTCTCATAAGTTAAGGGTCTGGGAGTACTGCTAGGAAAGGCTTTGGCACCTTTACTGTGTGATCAAGGAAAACTTTAGAGTACAGATGTAAACTATCTGCACTCAAACAGACATTCTACTGATCTCATCAAATCCTTACATTACGGGTAGTGATTTGCACAGGAAGGAATGGGGCAGAAGGGAAATGATCACTGAAGGTAATTGGAGGTCTCCTTTGCAATTCATAAAATACATGATAAAGGTCAGCAGAACTATCTAAGTAGTGCAATCCTATGCATACTTCCTGGAGAATAAACATAATAAATACAGAGGAATATATTCCTGAAGAAATATTCATGTTTCTGCTGCTAAGCTAGTCTGTATACAGTTAATTCTAAGTCCTAATGAAAAATAAAACTTTAATGTCCATAAATTTTAGCTAGGTTTTATAGGCAACCACATGTCCAACAGTCAGAGAGGTTCAACTCTGTAATTTCCAGTACTACATAAATAAAATGGTTATACAGTTCTGTCCATGCTAAGCACATGATTCGATATTTCAGAACGCTTCCAGATCAACCAGATCAATAATTTCTAATTGAACATCAGGACATTTAATTTGCCTAATTACGTAACTGCTGTGTGATCCTGAACTAGGTGATTCAGAAAATCAGATAGTACACATCATTACTATACAAATTTGCTTCTCTTCTGATATAAATTAGGAAATTTGATAATGAACACATTAGAAACCATTTCCTAGGCAACTACTTGTGCTATACAAAGATAATTAAGTCTAAGTCATTATTGCATTCTGAAAGTACTATAATACCCGTATCCTGGAGACTTATCATTTCCTGTACTCTCCTACCCCTTAAAAATGTATTGCGAGGCAGACTATATTCAAAGTGGCTTCAGGGATATGTTGTTACTAGGAATTAATGGCTGGCCATGTGTTCTGCATTGCTGAATGTGTAAGACCCCAGGACTGTCCAAGCAAAAGGGGGGAAAAACAGTGGTGCAGGCAAAACGCTGGGTTATTATAATATGATCTTGAAGATAACTTTGCTCTGTAACCCAATCCAGTTTAATTCAGTGGATGTGGATATTTCTGTTAATAGCTTTCAGACAATAGCTTTCCTTTTGATCCCTTGGCTGGCCTTACAAAAGGAAACGTGCTCTGGAAGTATTGTGTTAGATTCTTTAGCGTTCCATGTGATGGGGGCAAAATGCTGAGTGAAAAGATCTGGCACAATACATGAATGAATAATACGACCGTTATAAAGAAGAAACATCTAACTATTTCTTCTTTTATAGTGGATATTAAAAGATGTTAAGTACAGAAAAATTTGCAGGAGACTAAGACGGACCATACAAGACGAGATTAATCTTTTTGCTAGTATTTACTGTAGCCAGCTGTCTTTTTTGAACCTCAAGATTACATTGCAGAGTCTGAAACAGAATTCAAGCTCTCTTGTAATGACCTAAAATTTGTATGTAAGAATCAAGCACCTCAGTACTAGCCCATTATATGCTGGTTGAGGAAACAAGCAGCTACTTTAAGAAAGATGAAGCCTTAAATATCTATTTCTTAGGAAATATACAAGTGGTATCTTAGACCTTCTATTGAACAAACCAGGAGAGTGGCCATTTTCTTTCACTTCCTTCTAAATGCAGAATTATGTCATACTATACATACTATACACACCACATCTTATAGTATTGTACCATGATGTACTCATGTGTATATCCCATTCCTCCCATAAAAGGGATTATTTAATTTCACTGCTTGAACCCATGAGGTGGAATTTTGGCGCAAATCAAGCAAATAACAGGAGCTTTTTGGCACTTCTGAACTGATGGCACTTAGGAAGTTGGAATCTGCACAAGAGGCTGCTTTATGACCCAGGAAAGAAGGCAGAAGCACTGGCCACCGAGTGACATGTGGAAGACGACATGCAGAATAATGCCAAACTGAGGGCCACATCCCAGATTAGAATGGTATATGACAGTGACTAAGGCAGTATCCTAAACATCTGGCTCTCAGGAGGACAACTGCGAAAGAGTGCTGGAAGGTGGGCAGCCATAGCTAGTCAGAATAGAAATAGTAAATAGTCTGGCATGCTAGGAACTTAACTTTGACAGAGTTAAAGATGTGAAATCGTACAACTTTTAAAAACTAGCATCACGATTTGTTCCACTTCCTTTCCTTCTAATTCTCATTTGCCTATATGCATCTATACCCTCTTTTGACATCATTGCAGGTTACTGCATTTTTGCCATTAAAGTGAAAGTTTCCTTCCTTCTCAGCTATTACCATTTCCACAATGGTGAGACTGTTGCAAGAATGAGAAATCATAGTATGACTTACCTGCATGAAGCGGCCTTCAGATGTACCCAGATTTGCTATGGTAAGGTCTTGTTTGGTGAACACAGATATAGATGTTAACAAGGCGGTGTTGAACTGCTGTGTGAACAAGTCAATCCGTTGCAAAGGTGTTGTAACCTCCACCCGATACTCATCATCCTGTGCTCCACAATAGGTAGTGTTTCTTGAAAATGCCTGTAAGAAGTTGAGATGTGTTTCAGCAAACCATATGGGAGCCCAGAAAGGGGAGGGAATCAGGAAGGGCACAGATGCAGAAGTCACTTTCAAGGTAGATAATGATGTATTTCATGGAACGTAATTTCTGTCTGTCTGTCTGTCTGTCTGTCTATCTAGCTATCTAATGCTTACACTACCAATGCTTTCTAGGATTCTTCATAACAATTAAAACTAAAATACCTCAAATTAATATATAATCCAAAAGTTTAAAATACTAATATAAAGCCTGAAAAATAAATACCAAACAAAATGCATAACAAAAGCATACCAAAATATACCGAAATAAAATCTAGTGACAATGCAAAGATTTGAGATATGGTAATGGCTCTAAAATGTCTGGGAGGTTAGGGTCCTTGGCACTAAAAGTACCACAATGAGGATGTAAGGCAAACTTCTCTGGACAGCTCATTCCACCAAAGGCCCTCTTCTTAGCAGCCAGCTACTACACTTCTATTAGTAAGAGCTCCCAGAAAATGATTTTTGAAGATAATCTTTCAATACAAGCAGGTATATATGAGAAGAGATGACCCTTCAGGTACCCTGATGACCCTTGGCCCCAGCTATTTAGGGCTTTGAATGTTAATACCAACACTTTAAATTAGGTCTGGAAATGGACTGGCAGCCAGCACAAGTCCATTTGGTGTGAATTTAAGTCTTGAGTTTTGGACTGGGGACCAGGGAGATCCAGTCATGAAGCTCACTGGGTGACTTTGGGCCACTCATTTTCAGCTTAACCTACTTCACAAGGTTGTGGCTGTGGGGATAAAATGGAGCTTTGTGAACCACGAAGAGGCAGTCAAATATTGTTTTTTGCTGCTCTCACTGCCTCCAAATATATTCTACTATAGGCTTGATTGTATCCACTAGTAGTGTTCCTCCATCAGCATTCAAGACATCTCCTGACTTGCTTCATCCCTATCAGCTTTGGAGTATATCATAGAGATGTACAAGCTGTACTAAAGAGAGGGTGCTCAGGAGCAATCATGTCAACCCTCCAGGTCATCTCTGTATTCCAGAGGGATCCTACAGAATCATCAGTAACATCAGCCCTCCAGAGTCATCTAGAAACCATCCAGATCCACTAGTTTCCAGGGACAGACCATTTTAATGGGCCCCTACCTCTGCAGAGGGGAAAAGTCACTATTAATCTCAATCTTAGCAGGCAGTGATCTGTCCATGACAAAGGAACCAACTTGGAGTCTCCTACCTTCAGATCACTATCCCCATGTCTGGCTGGGGGGAAAGCAACAACAACAACAACATCTAGATTGTACTCTACTACACATGATGGAACAATCCCATGGTTGTCATGGAGCCCCTGAAATGCTGAGCTCCCCCAATAGGGCACTCTCAGCATGGATGTTAACATTCCCCAGGACCAGCAGTCTGGGGGCACCTCAACATCACAGCTAAGACAACTCCCTCAGCTCAGGAAGGGAGACTAGGTCACAGGGTGGATGTTACACCAACAGACTCTCCCTTCTGTCTTGCTGGTCCAGCACAAGATGCAAGTCAGATGCTGAGACAGCCCAAGGATGCTTCTCAAGGCTGCAGCCTTCAGATCAGCTGATGCTGAACGCAACTCTGGAAAGCTCCTTTCAACAATAATAAGTATTTGGAAAAACTCAAGCACAAGTTCTAAGAGTGAAAAAAAATCCCTAGGGAAGCATCTTTTGCTATAATTTCTCATTTTATCCAAGATATTATTTTCCTGCTAAAATGGTATAACAGATTGGCCTGTAACAGATGGGAGGCACAGCCCTTTGTGCATTCAGACAGAATGGTGTCCTACAACTCACAGCTTGACTCAGGCAGCTATGCCGGTTAGAGCATGCTTGGAGCTGTGGGACTTTTTCCCCCGACACAATATGCATAGCATTGTGTTCTAACATTCGTGTGTGTGTGTATGTGTGCTTGAAGCAGGTTATGAAAAAAAGTCAATTTTAAAATCCTTCTTTGGGGTCCTGATTAGAAATGTCCACAGGGGGCAGATACAGAGATAAGTAAGTCCTAGACACTTGCTTTCAGAAATGAAAATGTGTTGTGTTTTTTTCTGCATTCCTCCAGACCAAATAAAATGGCCTTAAGAATCATATGCTGTTTATTGCATGCTAGAATAGGTAGACTGCTCTGTACCAGCATGACAAGTCCAGTATCTCTCCATAGCAGCATCAGTATCTGAATGTCTCAATGCTGCTTCTCTTTTCTTTAGGTTACACAAAGGTTGTATTGGGCTGCCACAAAATCATGAAAGTAGGTAAATTTAATTAGGTTGGAAATATTTTTACTTCCCATTATTTAAATTTACACTTGCCAGCTCTGTTTTATATTGCCATAGCTAGTATCATAATAATTTGTTCATTTTTTAATTCTCTAATACATTGGCAGGAAATATGTGTCTTTCTTCTCTAGAGAATTATTCCCAGAAAAATACAGTATAAGTTAGTCCTTCGAAAAGAACACATCCACATTGTATTGGCAATTCAATGGTAATCTGTTAACTGGGAATTAAGTTACTATTGATGCTTCCATCTTCTATTTCAGATAATAAACAGGGACCATTTAGCTGTCAATAAGCAATTTAATATTGGAAAGTATATATGATATGCCTCAGATCTAGAATATGAAATAGAGCAGTACACAATAAGAGCAGAAATAACAAAACACAACTGTCTTCTAAAATCAATACTGAGCTCATTTTTCTTCATTGTTTATTAACTTTAAGGATTTCTTTTAAAATTAGGGTAGATTATGGCATGATTGATTGCTTACTGAAGAACCAATGTAGAGATGTCCTTTGATTTCCTAGACCCCTCCAACAGGCCTTCAGTAGCAAATCAGAATGACAATAAAATATTGTTATTTCTAGTTTCAGCTTGAAATCAAGTTTTTTAAATACGACTGTCTACTGGCCTTGCCTCAGCTTATCAGGGTATAAGGTCACTTCACATCAGCATGAAAGAAATACAAGATGATCACAGTACTGACTATATTGTTGCAACAGGTATGCTTACTCAGCAATGTATTAATATTTATATATCATATTACAAATACATCTCATGGAATCAGTTACTTTGTGTTTGGGACGTGGGCTGGAAAATTGTTAGGATATAGTTGGTGTTTTTATCAGAAGAATTTTGCTCTGCTGCTTACCTAGTACTAACTTAGAAAGCTGTAAGTGGGACTGCAACAAAATTCTGCAGGGTAAATTGAGGATTCTAGCCACTGCTGGTACAAGGGTTGTATCCACTGGTCTCATTCCACCATGTAAAAGGGAGTGCTTGGGTGGTATACTTCTTCTTCCTATACTCTATCCAAATGTGCTCCAGGAGCTCTAGGGGACTCTTTCAAGCAAATCTGGGGGCATGCAAAGAGCTGCAGAGAGGAGATGATTTATCATTACTACTATTACCACTACTAATTTATTTAGTGCAGCCTTCCCCAAGCTGGTGCCCTCCAGATAATTTCTATATCCCTGACCATTTGCATGCTGGCGTGGAATGATGGGGAGCTGTAGACCAACGCATCTGGAGGTACCAGGTTGGGAAGGCATTCCAAGTGCTTCTATATGCATTATCTAGCTGTAATAATTACAACCATTCTATACAGTAAGTCCACATTATTAAATTCCATACGGAATATCCAGGTGGACTGGAGCTGAAGCAAAGAGACAACAACTTGCCTAAGGTGACCTGGTGAAAGTATATCAACATTTGAATAAGATCGCAAGTGTGTGGAACAGCACAAGGGTATATTTAAATATATTGTGTTTAAAATTAAACCAGAATGTTTTGTGGCTATTATCCTATATATCTTCATAGATCACACTATTATTTTCTTAAATGATATTAAGGAACAAACATTTTCTTAAATGATGTAAGGAACATTTTGCTCAGCCATTCCAGCATGAAGTATCAATAGTAACCGCAGGTGACTATAAATAAAGGGCTGAGCTTTACATGCCATTTCCCATCTAGAATGTTAGTGCATGTGTTAACATTCTTAAGAAAAAAAATGCTGCCTGGAGTACATATATAGCCATACCAATGCAACAGAAGGCATTTGCGTGGCATTATGACATTTTCAGGAACTATGGTAAAGGTAAATATGAACATCATGACTTAACTTTTGTGAATTTTGTCAGTGATGCATTTTGACATCAGCGTTAAGATTCTACCTTTCTCTTATAACCACTATATTTAATGTATATTTAATTGCTTATTGTACATTAATTGTTTAATATATAATTATGCTAAAAATGCAAAATTACTTTGGATAGAAAAGAGAGACTAAAAATTGATTGTAGAAAACACTGCCACTTCTAAAGTTCAAGTTCATGAATCTATTTACTTAAGATCTTATCCGTCAGCCTACCGTAGATAACTGTATGGCCTAATTGGTATAGGTCTATCTGATTTAACTCTAAAGAACTCAAGTTCAACTCACTACCTCCACCACATAGATTCCCAAACTAGTTCTTTAACTGATAACATGGAAAATGCCATTATCCCTGGATTCCACATTCATATATCCAATGCCAAATTCCAGTGAGATATCTCACACATATTGAAGTTCAGCAAAGGGCCCTACAAGTATGTGGTTCACTGTTACATCTTCTTTTCATGCGCATGACAAAAAGTACAGAGTTCATCTGTGACTCATTCAGGAAAAAATTATCCATTGTAGGTACAAACTGGAATGCAATGAAATACAGGCAATGTTTCATGTCCAAACTGGATGTGAAGTCAAATTGTATTTTGCTTGCTCATACAATAATTTATAGCTGGCTGGAAATAACTAATCTTCAAGGTACAAACCACCAACTTTTTAAATAAATCTACTCAGAAGATCTTGAGTTATGGTCTATATAACAATTTTATTCTGTCTTTCTTCTGGGGAGTGAGCACTACTTTACTTTTAACTTCATAGGATTGTTGTGAGACAAGTTGGAAAAATAT